GCAGGAATGTGAACTGGTCAAAAAGAGGTGGAGGGGTGGGTACATTCTAGGCTCATTTAGAACATTAAATATGAAATTTTACAGAACACTACTTTCAAATGCTATCAGGCTATAGAAGTGGGACTAGTCCACCTCCTCCATCCTGGATGTGTCATCGTCATCCCCTTCCAGAGGGGGCATGTCCTCAGTGGGAGCAGAGGTGGTATCATCAGATGTGATGTCATCTTCATCAATGCCTAGAAGAACAAACAGATCCAGTCTATGAAGCAAGGCAACTATAGAGTTTAAAAGTCACTAAGTCACATCAGGTACAATTTCTCATCAGCAATAAATTAAATTGTGTAACACCACACAGATTACTCACCAAGACCCAACTTGATCATTCTGTAGATGCGATTGGAGTGGGTCTGGGGGTCATCCAATGTAAATCCAGAAGAGAGCAGGGCAGTCTCAAAGAGGAGGATGACTAGATCTTTTACTGACTTGTCATTCTTGTCAGCCTCTGCCTTCTGCCTCAAGGTCTCCACGATGGGATGGTCTGGGTTTATCTCCAGGTGCTTTTTAGCAGCCATGTAGCCCATAGTGGAGTTATCTCTCAGGGCCTGGGCTTTCATAATTCTCTCCATGTTGGCCGTCCAGCCATAGGTGCTGGTAACGATGCAGCAGGGGGAAGCCACCAGGCGGTTGGAGACTGTGACCTGTTGAGGTACATGAGAATTCAAATCTTCTGCTTCAATTGCACAACTACTGAAGGTCAAGTTATACAACACCTTACAAGCTATTTAATTCATTAATCTGCTCACCTTCTCTACTTTCTTCTCCAAGATGTCCTTCATGATCTTGCAAAGGTTCTCAAACTGAGATTTCTTCTCTTCCTGCTTCTTTTTCTCATCCTCATCCTCAGGCAGCTCCAGGCCTTCTTTTGTCACTGATACCAGGTTCTTGCCCTCAAACTCCTTCAGCTGCTGGACACAGTACTCATCAATAGGCTCTATCATGTAAATGACCTCCAGGCCGGCTTTGCGAAGACGCTCCACAAAAGCAGAGTTAGCCACCTGGTCTTTGGTCTCACCTGAAATACATCAACAAAAATGTCAGAAATTCAAGTAATATCTAACAGCACAGTCACCAGCTCAGTTCACTTTAAAATGTGCTTCAGCCAACAATGATGGTGTGAGACTGAAGGATTCTTACCAGTAATGTAGTAGATGTGCTTCTGGTTGTCTTTCATGCGTGTAACATAGTCCTTCAGAGACACCATCTCATCTCCAGAGGCTGATGTGTAGTAGCGCAGCAGCTCAGACAGCTTCTTCCTGTTCTGGGAGTCTTCATGGATGCCAAGCTGAAAGACAAAACATGCAACCATCACTAAAAAGCAGTTGCAGTTGGCTGACATTTCATTGTGGCAATAAATGCCTCAGCTCTTCATTATCTATACAGATGTTAAGCATGTAAAAATGCATGTTAAAATGTCAAATTACTGTATTGGCCAATGTGTTTTAACCACTGAAATACCAGAGTGCCTCCATTACAGAGAAGACAGCTCTATACAAGGAGACAGTGCCTAAAGTTAATTGTTACTAACAAAATTCCAAAGTGCTTGTTCAACTATGCTATTTAATTTGTACATCATTCTGATGAAGTTTAGATTTTGGCTTTATTTGTGATGACACCGAGTTTAACATCATGGCTGCCAAAAGCCCGAGAAAAATTAGAAACATCTGCAACTTGCACAGTAGAAGACACTAACCTTGATGTTCTTTGAGAACTGCTCATAGAATTTCTTGTAGTTGTCCTTGTCCTCAGACAGCTCAGTGAACAGTTCCAGACACTTCTTGACCAGGTTCTTGCGAATGACCTTCAGGATCTTGCTCTGCTGCAGCATCTCTCTGGAGATGTTCAGTGGCAGATCCTCAGAGTCCACCACACCTTTAATGAAATCTGAACAGAAAAGAAAAACAGTCAGCCATTTATCAGAATTACATAGCCATCATGTGACTTGAGTACTTCTGGAAGTCATGGCATGGTCACCCACTTTTCCCTCTCTGGTCAAAACCAGAGCTTTAACTAGTGACTCCACAGTTGGGTTGGTAAATACTCACTGAGGTACTCAGGGATGAGCTCATCGCAGTTGTCCATAATAAATACTCTGCGCACATAAAGCTTAATGTTATTCTTCTTCTTCTTGTTTTCAAAGAGGTCAAAGGGAGCACGGCGAGGTACAAAGAGCAGGGCGCGGAACTCCAACTGACCCTCTACAGAAAAGTGCTGTGGGGGGGACAAAAAAAACAAAACAAAAAAAGATTGGCTTTGGTTAAACTTTGAAGCATCACCATATTACTTTGGTTAAAATACACAATATGAACAACTTGTACATTTCCAAGTAAATACACTGAGACCAACCTTAACAGCCAGGTGGTCCTCCCAGTCATTGGTTAGACTCTTGTAGAACTCGCCATACTCCTCATTAGTGATGTCATCAGGGTTACGGGTCCACAAAGGTTTGGTCTTGTTCAACTCCTCCTGATCAATGTATTTCTCCTTGATCTTCTTCTTCTTCTTCTTTTTGTCTGAAGACTTGTCATGGTCATGCTCCTCATCTGATCCAACATCCTCAATCTCTGGCTTGTCCTCATCCTTCTCTTCCTCATCCTTGTCTTTCTCCTTCTCCTCCTTCTCCTCCTCCTCTGCTGAATGATCACTCACTTCCTTGTCACGCTCTTTCTCCACCTGCATAAGAATACAGCTCAGTCACTTGCCACGATCGATAGATAATTTGATTATCCCAGAATAAATAAATGTTGTGAATGAATACTGCAACATATTTGGCAATTTAAATAAGCGCTTACAAATAGTGTGATGGGGTAGCCAATAAATTGTGAGTGCTTCTTCACAATCTCTTTAATTCTTCTCTCCTCAATGTATTCTGTCTGGTCTTCTTTCAGGTGCAGGATCACCTTGGTGCCACGCCCCAGTGGCTCAGCTATAGAACAAAAAGATGAGTCAGTGCCAAGGTGCAGATAGTATTAACACCTCCTGCAGTCATTCCCACAACAATACATCTTAACTGTTAAAATAATGGCAGTTGCATTACTTACAGTTGTCCACTCTAACTGTGAATGAGCCTCCAGCAGAGGATTCCCAGGCATACTGCTCGTCATCGTTGTGCTTGGTGATTACTGTCACCTTCTCGGCCACCAGGTAGGCAGAGTAGAAACCCACACCAAACTGACCGATCATGGAGATATCAGCTCCAGCCTGCAGAGCCTCCATGAAAGCTTTAGTGCCAGACTTGGCTATTGTGCCCAGGTTGTTGATTAGGTCAGCCTTTGTCATGCCGATACCAGTGTCAATCAGGGTTAGGGTGCGTTCCTCTTTATTAGGAATAACCTCAATTTTGAGGTCCTTGCCAGTTTCCAGCTTGGAAGGGTCAGTGAGACTTTCATAGCGGATTTTGTCCAGAGCCTAAAAGGGGGGGAAAATAAAAGTACGTCGCATTCAGTTTCTTTTACAGCATATATTACTATGCATAAATCATAGAATTTTTTTATTTTGTTTAAACAAGATCAGATATCTTTGACATAATACAAGATTAAGAAGCCACTTTCAACTAATACTAATGACTAGCTGACTAAGAAACTTACATCTGAGGAGTTGGAGATAAGCTCCCTAAGGAAGATCTCTTTGTTGGAATAGAACGTGTTGATAATCAGGGACATCAGCTGAGCAATCTCAGCCTGGAAGGCAAAGGTCTCCGCCTCCTCCTCCATTGGTTGGTCGTGTGCTTCAGGCATCTATGCAGAGAATAAATGAGTACTTGTCATTAGGACTTGCATATATCATGAATTACATATACAAAAATGATATCCGTTAGCTACAAGTCTCCCTTAAGGACAATCTGCACAATTGACTAAGATCAGAGTGCTTAATGCAGTGCATTAAGTGATCTAACACTGCATGCTTTCATACAACTGATAATTGTATTTGTTCACTTCTCATTTTTGCGCTAATGGATCTGTGTGCATGGTCATGTTAGTTTGTGTCTGCAGTACACTTAGTCAATACACTGGCATGCTAACAATCACTGTGCAATTTATATAATGTGATCAACACCATCACAAATTACCAGCCACAATAACAACCTGGAGACTTTAATCATTGCTCCTCAGACCATACATTACATGTCTATTATGTTACACAATGTATACCCATTTATATTGTCAATCAGTTGGCAGTTAAGTCTTATTTTCTACAGTTAAATACAATTTAAAAAAGCATGCAAAATTCTGTGTTAAGTTTTAAACATGCATTACAAATTTTAATTGGCTTAAATGTAGTGTTAGGCATTTTTAGTCAGATAGATACTTTATGTATTAGAACTGTTTAGTGGTTTAGTGGATAGGATGTCTAGTTAGACTGTTAAATGCTTAGGCATGCTTATGAGTTTCTACAGCGTCTCGGTTGACGTTTCTGTGTAGTATGGGGCTAGCCCAACCGAAGGGATATAATGTATAGGCCTGGTGGGTTCAGGGTCTTTCATCTTACATCTGCCTGCGAGCAGTTTGGAGGTGCAAGATACCTGAGCGTGTAATGTTAATTTTACCTGTGCTCCTTTGAATAAATCAGCACTGTTTTGAAGTTACTTGGACTGTCTCGTCTCTCAGAGTTAGCAATGGTAATAAGAACCAAAGACCAACAGTAGGATGAAGTCCCAATTGAAACTTTAATTAAAAAACGCAGTGATGAATCAATGTTCTCAGCCAACATATTTACATAAATCTTACAATTAAATGTTCCATTATCCTATCATGAACAAGATAACTTATTGGTTGAGCACGTGGTCAGGATAATACATTAACGCCCAGCAAAAATGCCTCCACCTGCCGGATTCCCAGGCAAAATGCAAGTTTCTAGAAGCTACCATGAGCGAAACAGAACTCTAGCAGTTTCCTCGGGAATTGAAAGCTCCTCCTCTTTACAGTCTGAGGAGGATCTATGAATGGACATCCTGTATTTCGCTAATCTTAAACTAAACCGCAGTGACAGCAGATAAGAAAAAAAATCTGAAAAAGCTTTGTGCTCATGAAACCTGATTAAGGATCATTATGTTGCGCGCCTGCTAAAACATCGTTTCTGCCTGATGAGCACAGCTCAAGTGCACCATGTGGTCCGTGTGACTGCTGTTTCCCAAGCGTTGAGCAATACAAAAGGTAGTGAGGACAGGACAGCAGCCAGAATAATGTCGACAGATGTTCTGAAATGTGCCAAGTTAATAGCGGTGATAACACTACCATTATAAACCTTGGTGCAAAGATGTGGAAAAACAGGCTGAGGTTGTTGTTCGAAGTCACATTTAAGATAACGTTATAACGTCGACTAGAGTTCATGCTGCCTTCACGCATTAACTACATTCGTATAAGAATACTGAACTATTAAGTTAGTCATGTCTCAAAACTCCCAACTTCGATGGAAGATGACTGAGTTAGAATTAAAGTTAAAGCTATATAACAAGAAACCTAATATTAGCTAGCATCAATGTTAGGTAATGTAGCTCTAAAAATTTCGTTAATTTACCTCTATCGTTAGAGCGTCGACGACTCCAGTAACAAGCGTGTGGATAATGATGCTATTTCGTAACCAATCCAATGACTGGGATACCTAGTTGAGACAGGCGACCTGTGCAAGCTTTATAGCTTTACCGAGCATTCGAGAAAGCCCAGCCTACCCTCTGAGCTTCGAGAAACATCTAGACGGTTTCTCTCCACAGCTCGATGGTGGCCGCTGACAGGCCCCGTGGACTGTCAATCACAACATGTTCACGCCTTTCGATAGGTTTATCTCACATGACTTTATATTTCTTTCTGTGCATGTCAATCACAACATGTTCACGCCTTTCTATCAGCTATTGGCTGGAGAAGGCGGGACTAAAATATGGTAGGCTGAGCAGGGAAAGGGAGGAGTGAGGAAGCAGCAATTACAATGGTCCATGCAGCATTATTCACTGAAATTTCCAGAACATCGTATTAAACAAAGGACGAGGTTGGTGAATGAAAGTTACTTCATTTGCAACCCCCCTGTAGTTATATCTTCTTTCAACCATTATTACTTTGCAGGCGCCAAACAAAATGATGAAATTCAAGCATATGCAAATGACTCAGTAAAAGAGATCTTATTTCTGAATATATTTAATTACAAATTTGAATGTATTTCATTAAAAATGTAATAGTTACAAAAACAGAAACAAGTCAAATTCTCAGAGTTTATATAATGTTATTAATTGTTGTCTGTGATTTTATATAAGCAGCTGATACAATGTAGACTGAGCCACACTGGCCTACATTAAATACATAAAAAAAACTAACACTATTTAAGAAAGTGGAGTTATGTTTCAATTAAACATTGATTTAAAGAAGCAATGTATCTTACAAAAATAATTAAGAAAGCAGAGAAGAGTTCACCAAATGTTTTAGTCAACTTCCTCCATTCTTGATGTGTCATCTTCTCCTTCCAAGATGAGTGAAGCCACCAGTCTGCTGGAGACTACAACCTGCCAGTACTGAAATGCTGTATTATTATCATCAAACTAATGTTATCATACTACATTAGCATAAAAGTAATGAAGCTTTAAAATGGATCAGAGAATTATTGACATTTCCACCAATTACCTTTTCAATCTTTTTGTTACGGATGTCCTTCATGATCTTGCAAAGATTCTCAAATTTATGAGTGGAAAGCAAACAAAAACACTAAATCATCACTTGCTGTTACAGTGGGGTGTCCCTCACCAGGGGGTGAGAGAGAGAGAGAATGAGAACTCAGGGTGCAAACTCAGGTGCTAGTGGGAAAGTGTCTTTATTACAAACATATATGCGGATACGAGGGCAAAGTCAATGGGTTATGCGTGATCCAAACCAGGGTAGAGTAGTGAAGGCTGAGAAGACTAGGACAAGCAGGTAAGCAGGCAGGAGAGCAGGATCAAAGGACCATCCTGGTCAGGTGAGTAGACAGGAGGGACACAGGAACAAGGGTTCACCCTCAGGTACACAGAGTAGCATTCACCCTCAGGTAGTGATATTCCCTCTGACACCGAGGCTCCGAAGCTTGCTTCAAACTTGGAAGGGTATTTTTCTGAAGCACTGTGCCGGAGCTTGCTTCAAATAATCGGATAATCACCTTCATTGGCCAAGTATGTTACACACAAGGAATTTGTTTCCGGTACAGAACCGATGGCAGCCATCTGCGGCGTCACCTCAACCGATGGCTCTAACCATCGGGGGCAATGTGGTTTGGTGTCTTGCCCAAGGACACTTCGACATGTGGACTGCCGGCACCAAGATTTGAAGCGTCAACCTTCTGGTTGGGAGACGACTGCTCTACCCACCACACTAAAATCAGGAAAAACCACATGACTGGTGACATTCAAACCACTTCTGCTTCACTCATATTGAATCAGCTGACTGGTTTGGTTGGATAGCTTTGAAACATTGGTGCCATACACATGTATTTAAGATGGATGAATCAAAGGACCAGGATGGACAGGTGAGTACTCTGTCCTACCTCTTGTCAACACATTTTAGATTGCCTCACTATGGAGCCATCAAGGAAACGGTCGCAAATGTGGGAACATTTTGAATTGGTGCCACCGAATAAGGTAAATTACATTTCCAAGATTCAAGCCGTATTGTCAAGTCTGTTATTCATACAATGGATGTCCAAGTTTACGGTCCCCTCTGAATACACACAGGAAGAATAATTCACACACAGATCTCAATGTGATTTCATTTCACTGATCCAGAAGTACAGAGTTCAGAGAGAACAGTTCCTCCAGTACAAGCAGCTAAAATCCATAATTAAATCAAAGATTAGTGTAACCAATAACTCATTACAACTTTCTAAATTCATTGAAGAGATTATGAAAATTACAGATTCCAAGAAAATGATATCCAAGCTATATAAACTCATATCAAATACAGATTCAACAATACCAAAGCTCAAATGGGAAAACTCTGTCTCTCAGCTTGGACTTCTAGACCAAAATCTGTAATAACATCTTGTCTATGACCAGCAATGTAAACTTACAACTTACAGTTCATTCCCTCTGGATAGCAGTGACAGAGAAACTCTCCACCATCTTGGGCTGTAGAATCCCTCCTTCTCCATCACTTTGCTTACTCAGTAATATCACAGAAGTTGACCACCTACCAATTAAATACAAAATTCTACTCCTCATTTCTCTAGCTATTGCCACGATAACAATCTTTCAAAGATGGAAAAACAAAAAATCTCTACACATAAACCACTGGACCACCCTTCTGATAGAATACATCACACTAGAGAAAATGGCATCTGCTCACAAGAATAGTTTATCAGCTTTTTATGACACATGGAACCCATTTTTAACACAGTTCAACTTGAACCAAGCACCTGGGGCTGAGGCCACGCACATTCCCACCATCCTCTAAAAATGTAACTAGCTGTTTTTATTAGTATTACTCATCATTATTATTGTAAAAAAAAAATTCTCCTTCTCCGTTTCTTTCCCTTCATAGACTGCATAAGTTGGAAATACCCACACTTCATACCCTCACACACTACAAACATGTAAAACCCTCTACATCTCTTTATAATGTCATGTACTGTAACTGTTGTCTTATCTTCCATGGCTGGACCTGTGTTGTTAATGTGTTGTTTTGTTTCAATAAAAAAATAAAATAAAATAAGAAATAACAAAATAAAAAATAAATATATATAAAAAAGCAATACTAAAAAAAATAATAATAAAAATGTTACTTTTGAGCTCCTTCTGCTTCTTCTTCTCTTCTTTATCCTCAGGAAGCTCCAGGCCTTCTTTTGTCACTGAAACAAGCTTCTTGCCATCATATTCCTTCAGTTGCTGGACACAGTACTCATCAATAGGCTCAATCATGTAAACAACCTCCAGGCCGGCTTTGCGAAGGCGTTCCACAAAAGCAGAATTAGCTACTTGCTCTTTGGTCTCACCTGTAAAAGATAATTTGAATTTATTGAATCATTTGTGAATTAACTTTTAAGAAAAACTAAAAAAAAAAAAAGAGAGAAAGAATGAAACCTAACCTGTGATGTAGTAGATGTGTTTCTGGTTATCCTTCATTCGAGAAACATAGTCCTTCAGAGACACCATCTCATCTCCAGAGGCTGATGTGTAGTAGCGCAGCAGCTCAGACAGCTTCTTCCTGTTCTGGGAGTCTTCATGGATGCCAAGCTGAAACATGAAATAATGTGTTACTAATATTGAAGTTCATTTTAAATGATATTCATATATTTCATTTGAAGGTTTAAGACTAAAAAATGAATTAAAATGGTTTGACCTACTTTAATATTCTTTGAGAACTGCTCGTAGAATTTCTTGTAGTTGTCCTTGTCCTCAGACAGCTCAGTGAACAGTTCCAGACACTTCTTGACCAGGTTCTTGCGAATGACCTTCTGTCAGGGTCGGCGCGCGTGATGCGGCCGAAGAGTGTTTTAGTGAACTCAATTATAATGCCAGACGAGTAAGTGTAAAACAAAAACCGTCTCTTTATTAAGAGAACTGAAACTACCAACAAAATCACACAAGACACGGTTGACACAAAAACTCACGGTCAGTATCGGTCCTAGGTCAGAGCCAGCAAACACATACATCCAGGGAAATCCGAAGTTCGTAGTCCAATAGAGAAAGTCCGATAATCATACACCGAGGGCGAGGCAGAATAGAATGGTCCAAAGAAACAATCCGGGTCAAAACACAAGATACCAAAACCGAAGGAATGCGGGAAAGTCAGAGCTGGGGTCTAGAACAATCTGGCAGCGTCCTCATGGGAGGACGCTGCCTAAATAGAGGTGTGAACAGGTGCACATAATAATGCAGCAGGTGAAACTAATGTGAGCGATGGAGAACGTAAAAAGACCAGAACTAAGGTGAAACAAAACAGGAAACAGTGTCAAAATAAAAGCCGGACGGGAAGCAGTGGAACCAAATCATGACAGT